CTTGCCAAGAATAAAGTGCCTCTCTCCTCCCCTTTCCAACTCCAGTGTTGTCTTCTCAACCAGACCTGGGCCCAAGGCTCATGACCTGACACCTGCAGTCCTGGGCAGGGCGGCCTCTGCAGGAGGCGGACGGCCACCTGGGACAGAGTAACTAGCGGACATCCTCAGAGACAGGCAGCAGGAAAAAGGGGTCAGTAAAACATCCATGTGCGCAGGTTAGGGATGAAACTAGCGTCGCTGACCCAAGAAATAATAGGTGGAGCGAGCAGGAAGAGAGGAAGTCTCCCAGGAGAGAGGAAGAAGGGACCCTGAGAGGCACAGGAAACAGAAGGCACTGTAGCCATGGGAGGCCTGACACGGGGTGAGGATGGCACTCCCGGGGGCAGGGGCTGGGCGGGCACACTCATTAAAGGAACCGCAGAGGACAACCAGGAGAGGGACAGAAATCCCGTGCCTAGACATCCCAGGGACCAGTGCCTCAAAAGCAGAGGCAACCCCAAAACTCAGGGGACATCAGACTTCTCAGAGACGGCTGCGCATTCAGGAAGATGATGGAAAAATCAATACCCTTAAGTATTGGGAGAAAAGAAGGGAGGCGGCAGGGGTGCAGGAGAAAACAAGTAATAGGCAGAACAGAGAGCGTGCCAGGGCGTCTGAGGAGGGCAGGGAGGGACTCAGTTATGCTGGGAGCTTCCAGAGGGGCCCCTGTCACCCTCTGCACCACCTGGGGCTCACCCTGCCCTCCTCACCCCAGACGACAACGCATAAGGCGGCACAGACGGCTCCAGGGGGAGCACCAGGTCCAGCCCTGGGGGCCGGAGCTAATGCAGAGGAGCAGGCGGAAAAACAAATATGAAGTCACAAAATGAGGGACAAAAGCGAATACTTAGCAGGAGAAAAGACATCACAGATTTTAGAAATCATCTAAAATACCCTGGAAGTAACAATATTTTTAAATTAAGGGACACCAGCAATCATTCTACTTTTTGCTACTTAATTTCATTGCCTCCTCGTTGGCTGCCTCTTCAGATGACTATGATTTTGGGAGGCAGTTTCCTAGAAAGAGAATGCAGAATTTAAATTTCCATTTCGTCTGAGAGCACAGCCCTGGCCAGGATAATATGTGTGGGCAGAGGGGTATGTGTTTGGCTAGCCGGGGGTGCATAGAGCATGTGCCTTGGCTCCCTACAAATACAAGGACCTCAGAGATTCTGTTTTTCAAGATTTTCATCAATAGGAAAAGGAAGGGAGTGTAGTTAAAATTGTGTTGGGGGCTGGCCGAGTGGCGCGATGGTTAAGAACTGGCTTGGGATGCCAGAGGGCCCTGGTTCGGATCCCACACATGAGGGCCAGTGACACTGCCCTCTACAGCTAAGATGCTGAACAACGGCTCAACCTGGAGCTGGGCTGCTGTGAGTCGCGTGCGACGGCGTGGGCTGCAGTCCCTGTGGCAGTGGGTTGCCATGGGCTACCGTGTGTGGCCAGCAGCCAGCGTGAGCGGCCAGCAGCCAGCGTGAGCGGCCAGCAGCCGCAGTGAGCGGCCGTCCAGAAGCCGGCGACTGATCTGCCTCACCTGGGAAGAGCGCAATGATGGTGCCAACTTGGGCCAGTGAAGCAACATCCTCCACAACTAGACTGAAGAACAAAGTGACAGCAACTTGTCTGTCCCCCTTCCCCCAATTCCCCAGCACTGTTCCCATCCCCCCAATTCACCAATAAAAAAAAAATCTTTGAAAAAAAAAATTGTGTTGGGCTGTATCATGGAGCCCACTCCTGGAGGTGAAAATGTGTGACTTCACAGGCGTGGATGAGCACAGAAGTCCCAGGTAGCAAACACTTCATCTATCTTGGAGCCACTGCACACCCATAAACAGACCCCACTAACATGCCCCCAGCTCAACGCCCCCTTGGCCAGACTCCAGGCTGCCTGACACGCAAGCTCAGGGGAAGGAGATGGGGTTCCACTGTGGTTAAAAGATCTCTAGCAAACTGACAGCACACCTGCCCTCCAGGTCTTGGGAGGGACTGAGGCCTGGCTGCGGGGTGCTGCACAGCAAACCTGCCTGTCCCCCAGCCTGGTGGTTCCTGGAGATGCTGCGACACTCCAGAGTGCCCCACCTCCACACAGCTTCCAGGCACGGTGAGGTGGGGTGGCTATTTCTGTTATGGAGGTGTGGCAGGGGCCAGGGTGCTTGAGGGGCAGCACTGATCCCGGGTCATAGACCCCTCTCAGGCTCTCACCCCAAGGGTCCACTGCGGGCCTGAGACCAGCCCAAGCCCCGGTCCCACTGCAAGAACCT